TGTTGTTCAAAGCTCTACCTACATTTATGTACATGCTTTTTAAAATATAATTTTGAGCCATGACATCTAAAATAAGTCCATCCCATGGATGTAGACTAGAGCTCTATCCCCATCAAATGCCCATACATGCAAAGTTACAACCAGCATTCCGGATGAGGGGGCTCGTTAACAATGGATTAACACATCTAATAGAATGGGAACTCTGAATTCGAACCAGGAGATAGAGGCCTGTCGATGGCACAAAAGTGACACAAACAAAGTTCCGACAACTCTTGAGACGCAAATAACTAACTGTATCTATCATAAACACATAAAGTTACCTTTGGTTATCCAGATGGGTTTAGAGAGATTATTTGATGAATATGGAACCATCTTATTCAACTTATCCAAAAAATGACGTTATAAAATTTCTGCAAAAATTCAGTACACTATTTGTTAAGTCTTTGACAAGTTTCATGTATCGAAGTTTCAATTACGTTTACATTAAAGTCATTTTTTTTACTACATTTTATTTTCTCAAAATCGCAGATAACTTAATATTTCTCAGAATGTTTACTTCAGTTGTTGATGTCACAGTGAGTCGAGACTTTCTTCATACAAGATTTTCTAAATGTTTGTTATTTTACTTGTTTCAGTTGTAACAAAAGTCTCTCGCCAGTGTAGATGGTGACCAATAGTGTTACAAAATATTATAATAAAGTACATATGAATGGAAATGTTGCATTTCTGTAGACAATCATATGAATTACATGTGTATAAAACTTATGAAATTACGTAGACAAACTTATGAAATACATATGTAAGGAAGTGATTTGTCCCTGGCGTTGAGCATATTCTATTGTGCTTTTTTAACGTTCTGCACTCTCGTTCACATATATTTTTACAAGATTAACCACTTTGAATTTTGAACAAAAAAAGGAAGACTGTCTTTTGCAATGATTCAGATCTCCCAAACTTGCAAATGGTCTGCCAAAGATGAATACCAATCTGCATATGTTTTCAAGATCACATTTTCACTTTGTAGACGTTGACCCGTTCATTCATTTTCTTTTCCAAAGTTTCATTCCAAAAAGTAATCATAAAACAAATTCGCGAAAGTTCTTGATTGAAACAGTTGAGCATTTAGTGTTTTGAATTGTACCTTCCCTGAACAGATGGGTCTTAAAGACGATACTGAAATTGTCAAGAAACATTCGATTCTGATCAATTAGCAAAAGGTTAATAAATTTTGTTGGTACATTTTCATTTTTTAAAATTTTACTTCATCATATGTTAGTGTCATCCTTTAAACCTAATGCAATTATTAGTTTCTTAGTCTACTCACGCTTTAATACGGCAATGATTGCATCATGTCTTGCTAAGCCATAAGTAAGAACATAACACTGAAAAATAGAGCTTTCATTTTATGTAAATTATTTTTACAAAGGTTCGAAGGCTCGAAGCGCGGTACAAAGTCAAAAATATTAAAAGAGAAATGAAAAACTCTATATTACACCACATTGAAATACAAAACGCAAAATTACAAAATCTGCATACAAGAATATCCATTCTAAGTTTTTCATCCCTTGCAACCATAAACAACACATGACAGTATTTCATCCAGTAGATAATAATTTAAAGACATAGGTACACATATTTAATTTTATTTACATGCGTTACTTGATTTTATATATCAACACATATTATAATACATAGTTAACATTTAGTTCATTATTGTCATGAATTATACTTAATATTTTTTTTTAATTTTAAAGTAATAATAATGTATAAAAAAAAAGAAATCTCAATTTTCACATCCAATTTTTATATAGATATTTAATTTTCAAAAAAAAAAATAGAATGTAAAAAAATAGAAGATATAAAAGGTCTATATCATGGAAATAATAATCTAGTAGAATTAAAATGATGCTGTTGTGAATTTTAAGAAAAAAATAAAACGATAAAAATAGCATATCAACTGCATTATTCTTTCTAATGGTTTAAATATGCATGACAGCCAAACAGCTTAAAATATTTACAGCAGAAATTCAAAGATGTTGTCTTCCGTCTTCAACATTGGATACTTTAATTAGTTAGTCTCTGATCCACTATTTTTAAAATTGATAAAATAATTGAATTGTATTTCTTTGTTGAATTGCTACCCACACACACACACATATATATAAATAAATATTTATATATATGAAAAAATATGAAATTAATGAATAAATGAAAACTTAGATATCTAAATTTTAAAGAATAAAGAAAGTAGAAACTAAAGATAATAACATCTACATGATATTTTAAAATAAATATAATCCATCCTTTTCATTAATTAGCTCGCAAACCATGAATGCCACATCAAACAAATTGCGGGTGCAAGTACTTCAGATTAGAAAACCCGTTTTTAAGACATAGAGAATATATTAAATTAAAATGAAACACATAAATATGGCTATTAAAAAAAATGAAGGGATTTTAATGAATGCACATATAGTATATGTTACTTTCCATTGAAAAACATGCAATATAATTCATACAAATAAGTTGCATGAAAAAATATACATTCGCAATATCTCTTTTTATTTATTCATTAACCGAATAAAAAAAAAGAGTAATTTTTAAGCCATAAATTTTAATTAAATTAAATTGTAATGTCCATGCTGAAATCTATGCCATAATTTAGAATAAAACTTTATTGTGTTTTTTTGGTCTTTTTTTTCTCGTTCAATATTTAATAACAAGGTGCCATGACCTACCATAAAGGAGATAGCTTGCTCCGTAGACTATTAAAAAAAATAGTTTTTTAAATTAAAAATAAAATTCTATGAATAAAATATATATAATATTAAACAAATATCAATAGATTATTTTTTCAATAAATAAAAATATTGTTAAATCTGATATTTAGAGATACTGTGTGACATTTTATGCATATTATAAAAGAAAGAAAAAATAAATTCTTTAAAAAAAGAGATAAATGAAAGGACAACAATAAAGATGAATTAATTTTAAAGAATATAATAACAAGAAGTACATGAATAAATATAAGAATTGTATATCGACACAATTTTTTTTCCAAAAATCAAAACTACTTTTTAATATGTTTATGAAAAAGGAAGGAGAAAATAAAAAAAAAATGTATTATTTAGAAGATTGAAGTACAAAACTGAAGTATCTCAAGATGCGTTCAATACATTGAAATCACATTTAATACGTTTCATTACATAATGAAATGATCTGGAATCTGGAATATGTCATCGACTGAAAATACCATTTCTTAAGGTCGCATATACAGATACATGTGGAGAAAAATGTTTTGAAGATAAAGAGAGAGTGAGGGCTACATAGAACAGAGATCACGTACATAATGAGCAAGAAGTTATAATTCAGGAATTACAATGAATGCACTTTATACCATATAAATTCAATTGCAACAAATAGTCTTAAATTTGTGAAGCTAATCATGTTTCAATGACTAGCTTATAATAATGGAATGTTAAATATATATAATATATATATATATACATATAGATGTAAATAATTTCACATCATAACAGTTTTTAAGACGCATTTTGATGACATTATAACATTGTAAACTGAGCAAAAGAAAAAAAATACAATAGTATCACCATCTTCGCAGAATATCTTTGATTAGTAATCATAGCTCTCTCAAATCATAAGTAAACAACGTTGTTTCTGGTATTGCAAAGCTTACCAAACTTATCATTGGGAAAAATAGTGGGTCATATTTCAAAAAAGATTTTTATCTCATAATAATGTCTAATTGACTTCAATGACTTGTAATGTGTACATTTCTAAAACACACCTATTTATTCCATTTAGCTAAAGCTTCAAATGTATACACCTACTTCTATCTAGTAGATATAATAGCATTGTAGAATGGAACAAAACAAAATGGCATTTAAAGTAGGTACTATCGTTAAACAGACACATTTTGGTTAACCGCATGATGTGTCTTAGGCTTGTCTTCCCTTTTGTGCTTTGATTTATTTCCCTTTTCTCTCCTTTTCATTGCGGTAAAGTCCAGCTGGGCGTACTCTACTTTCTCGTGGACATCTGATGCCTGGGATTTCTTGGAAGATGCCTTAGACTTATTTGAGCTGATGTCACTGTTACTCAAATCTAAGTAGATCAGCCCCTCACTAGAAATATAACGTCCCCAGTTCTGTAAAGGAGAGACATTATGCAATAGATTTTCAAAGTGTGCACGTTAGTTATATGTATATGTATTTGTTTTAGAATAGTGTCTAATAAATAGTTTGTTTGTTGAAAGATGAAAAAATACATCAAGACTATCTTATGTTAAAATAACGCATATTTCATAATCACAAATAAAGTTTGTATAAATATTATTTAAATAAAATCATGATGTATGATAATATACAATAGAATAAATAAACATGAGTGGTGAATCCACTAACTTGAAATTGTTTGCGCATGAAGGACCTGACTATTATGTATTTATTTATATACTATGTGCCAACATGAAGCACCTTAAAGCTAATGATTATAAATACAATCTTTGAACCAATGTTTCTGCTTGATTTTTAGTATTGTGTAATGCTTAAATAGAAAATTTGGTATATCGAAAAAGGGGGAGGGGCAGGGCCTTATAGCAGTATAATTTGACTTTTATGTAGTGTTCCAAATTTTAAAAAGTCTGATGTTAGTAACATAATATTTATATTTGTCTTATTGTCTGGATGGGTGTAAATTATATGTGGTCCTCTTAAGTTAATATTTGAACATGTTGCTAGATCCCTTGTGCTCATGCTACTTGTAACGCTACATAGCATACAGCAAGTTGATTAATTTTTTTAGGACGACCTATTTATTCTTTTTAGAAAAAAACAAACAAAAAAACAATTCATTTCATTTGTAAACATGAGTTATGGTCTACCTCTCCTTCCGTAGAAACACTTGCTGACCGACAGTGGTTGGATTGTGCGCGGCTGAGCATCACGCGGTCTGAAAAAGAGGATGATTCTTCTGAACCCAGTCTGATTGTGGAGCCAATGCTCGTTACATCTGTTGAAGAAAAAAATTTACAAACATCAGCACAAATTTACCAATAATGTATAACTTACAATTGTGATTAGCTGTGCATTTTGCTATGAGCATGGACATATTAGCATCTTTAAAAGAGTATAAACAAAAATAATATTTTAAAAGCAATATTACAAGCAATCACTTTGATACATTTGAATATATTTTAAATGTTTTAAAAACATTCGATAGGCCTACAGCATGACACTCATTATTATTCAACTATTTGTTAGCCTTGTGTTTGTGTAGAAACAATAAGAGTGACGACACTTCAATCACCAAAGACCACACCAACGATGGCAGCCAACTGTTGGCTTGGGATAACATCAGCTTCTATCCTAAGAGGGCGTGTGTGACGTACAATGACTCAATAAATAGTGGGAAAAGATATGCTTAGACTTGGGGAAAAAAGACAGGACGACTAAAATGATATTTCGCTTAAATGACATCTTCAGGATAAAATGCAAGTTAAGAAAAAATAAATAATGAGAAATCTTTAAGACCAATTTATTTTCGAAGATCCCAATGTGTTTCTCTCTGTCTCTGCTTAGAATTTAAAAAAACGCTCTTGGAATCACTCGTTGCATATATCTTGTTAAAAATTAAAAAAAAAACCAAGATCTATACCTTGATATTGATTTAATTTGAAGCCACTCTACCTGTTGATTGGTCTGTCCAGTGTCCTTCGCTTGCACTGCCAAAGTGAACAGATTTTGAGATCTGGTTTCCTTTCTTCTTAAATGATGACCTCGAAAAGGGTAAATGGAACTTTCTATCTCTTTCAGGCAGAATGACGTCGTGTTGAGGCTTTTACAAAGGTAGAAGCATACAATTTGCAGTTTATGGCTTTTAGAAATATTTAAATATATTTATTTTAATCAATTAAATTGTGCTATTTGTAAGCGTCTAGCGTGTATTCACTGCAAAAATTATATTTTAAGTTATAAAGAGTTTTATTTCTTAATTTATCATTTATAATCTTTAAAAAAAAATTAGACGCTACATCAGCCTAATCATAAAAAAATTATAGGCAATGCAGTAAAAACTGCACTCATTAAGTTTAAAGAAAAACTAAAAAAACACCATTTTTAAAAAAATAATATGATAATGCCAATGAATAAAATTTAGCTTAATGCCTTTCTCTTTTTTATCCAATAATAAAAAGTACAATGAACATTAGACAAAAAGAAAAACTTAACTAGAAGTAAATTAAGTTGATAAGCCAAACATGCAATTGCTGCAAATGCTACACACATTTAAATATGACATTAAATTTAAAATATATCATGTAGGGGATTTGAAGATTATTGTATTTTTTTATACTTGAATAATACCAAATAAAGAGTAGGTACAATCAACAACTATAACGTTTTTAATTGAATGATACAAAATGGGAACATAAGTTATAATTGTTGGTACCACCTACTTGAGTTTTTTGTTTCAAATGAATATGAGGTCTCAACCATTATGACATATTTTCTTGAATAATTCAAATTGAAGATATTCTACCAATACTTTTAGCTTATGAAATGGAACATTACCAAAGGAATTGGTACTACAAACAATTATAACTTTTTGTACTTGAAAAATACCAAATAAACCAGAGGATACCAAACATGTCATTACATCTATTTTGAATTCTCACTGTAGGACTGTTAAATATAATCAAATTTCTTAAATGATTTTGTTGATCTATAATTTAAAATTGGCAAAACACCTTAATATTGTGTCTCTTGTGTCCAATAATTTATTAGCTTTATGTAAAAAACTATAAATTAATATTTGGGTACTGTGACAAGCAACGTCGATGAAGTATTTTAACATAATATGTTTAGGCTTGAAGAGGAAGGAAGATGCTATCAAAAAGACAGTTTTTCTAGATGCCAAGCTATATAGAAAAGCTGAACGTCTTTTCGTCTGTCGTATATTTTCATTTCCAGAGTAAAAAAATCTTGTTCTTATAATTTATGTATAATTAGAGTCTGAAGACATCGATGTGCTCCAATCTTGAGTAAAATAAGTCTGCCCGACAGAAAAGTATTTCAATCATTTTTTTTAAAAAATTCCTGAAGCTAAAGTTATTTATTTTAAACTTTGAAAAAAGTTTAGATTTGGGGACATTGTGTCTTATTTAAAACAGTTATTTAACGATGCCTTTTGAAACATACTGTATAGCCATTTGATTCGTTGTCCTTGTCTGTCATCAGCTCCCGTTGAGCATCAGAGATGTTGGCGTAATAGGACTTGTCAGCAACCACCTTATACTTTTTAACTATTTAGGAAGTTAAAAAAATAAATTGTACGATATTTGCTGCAATTTCAAATTGAGATAATTTCAAATAATGGTTATAGTAATTACTCATGACACAGATGAAAATATTTAATGTCAATAAAATGTTGACTGAGTTTAAAATAGTTTCGCCCATGCATGTCTCATAGATTTACTATACTCATATAAAAAACACTGAAAACATTAATAAACGAATAGTTATGCATTTAACGTAATAATACAATTGATGCTTAGCAATTATTTGTTCAAAACAAATAAATTTTTAGAAAATTGCTAAAATGTTTAAGTACGCTTGTACTTGTCAAGTCAAACGATATAATAAACTCCAATACTGTTTTAATACGAATCAAGCAATTCAATTTTCTTAACCAATAGAAAAAAATTGTGAAAAAATATGCAGGGAAAAAAAATGTGGTATTTAAAAAAAATAATCAAATTGAGTTTCTTTGCTTGTTATTTTAAAAAAATGCTAGTGGTGTGATAATAATTAATTTACACAAAGAGCTAAATGTATTCGGGTTTTTATCTTTGAGTATGGATTATATAAGTAACCTAGTTGTATACAATTGTATCATTTCACCATCTTGTAATGATCACAGCTCGTATTTCTTTAGAACAATGATACTAAGGTTTCACTTTCGACAGGAGGAGTTCCAGGATCAGCACGATGTTTTTTATAAAAAAAAAAAAAAAAGGAAGAAATGTCCCATTTCGTGATTTTCCTCTGAGCGCATTTTAATACTAATATTTTTTTTCTTTTTTTTTTTTAAATTTCAGCCATGTAGATATTGTCATTAATTGACAAATAATTTGATTATAATCTTTATTATAAATTCTTTAAGCCACGAAACTTTTCATATACAATCAAAGTGACTTGTTCCTCTCGGGACATCCCGGGCACTCATGTTCGGAAAAACAAATTATCACTATTTATTTAACCAGGACAAGCAAAGCAAATGTAAGTGATAACACTAATTAAAGCGAATTTTACTTTTTTTTTTAAATTAAAATTATTAGAATAGTTCTTGTTACACAATTTCAGAGCAGTTTTTACACGTTGAAAATGAGAAAGATTTACTAGTAAATAATATGACATGTTCTAAATAGTTTGATTGTAGCACGGTTATCTTGGAAACAATGAATTTATAATATCCTTTACTTTCATAAAAAAAAGCACGAAAACATATTTTTACCTGTGTTTTTGCAGAGAGCGCAATTCTTTAGCTATGACTAATTTATTTGATTTAAAAAAAAACAAAAAAAAAAAACAAAAACAAAAAACACTGTTTTATATAAAAACATTAATGAAAGCAATTTAGGAATGTTTAATCTGTAAAGATTTAAAAAAAAAAATTCAAGTCAATACTGCGCTTACCACGTCTTCTTCTGTAAAAGAGAATTGCTCCAACACTTATGCATGTCACACACACCAACATCACCATAATGACCCATATAACTCTACCATTTGAGTTAGCTGAAGGGGTTGAGGGTTGCGATGTGTTACCTTATAAAAGTTTACAAAAAATTTTTTTTATTGTTTTGATATATTTTGTCTCCCTCTACATATCTCTATCTCTCTTTCTCTTTGTCACTAACTAACTCTCTCTCTCTCTCTGTCTCTCTCTCTCTCAATCTGTCTTTTTACCTCTCCTATCTTTCTTTCTTTAACTCTTTTAAATATATACACTTATAGTTCTATGTATCAAACTCTTAAGCAAATTTGAATCTTTCTGTCGCTCTCTCTGTCTCTCTCACTCTCTCTCCATTTTTCATAAAATTCCTTGTTTTAAATCTATATTGCTATATATTATTATCTATCAATGAATAAAATTAAATCTTTATATATCTCTTTCTCTCTCACTCTCACATCCTTCTCATCCATCTCTTTCAGTTACTCTCTCTTTTAATTCTACATCTTTTATTGTTCCCATGTCAGGAGTCGATATTTATACCTTACTCTTCCTCCCTCTCTCTAAACCTCTTTTATCTCTGTCATATCTCTCTTTATTATGCTACGTTTATTTCAGTAACTAAATAACTTAATCTATAGTCCCATGTTCTACTTTTTGCTTATCTTTTCCATTTACGTGTACTATTTCACACTTCGTCGTGCACTATACATAATCGTAACTCAGTTCAGCCAACATGTCAAAATAGCACACGCCTTTGGATAAGTTATTGCAATGTCTTACTTTGAAGTTGTAAGGAAATGTTTATTTCCAGGTGTTGATTGCCTTCATCGCAAAGTTTGAGTATGTACGTCTCAACATTATCTGTTGTTAAGTTATTAAATCTAAGTTGCAATGTGTAATCAACAAACGAATCGTGCTTCTTTTGTAGAGTATAGCACACACTGCAATCGCTTTGTCGTATTTCATTTCCCCTATACAGCACGGATGAATTAATGGTCCCACTTGCAACAAGACACAACGTCACCACTACGACATTTTGATCACGTGACACTGTAATGTTCCTTGTATTAGTTTGGTTGGCACATAGCCGTGGTGGACCTGGAACACAAGGGGTTTATTGATGGATATCACAAATGAGCGAAAAAATGCAGGCCTATGTTTAACATTCGTAAAAAATAAAATAAAATAAAAATGTACTATCATTATTAACAAAGCAATGAAACACTGTAAAACTGTATTGCCTTTGTAAGTGCCTTCAAACCAATTTCATTTATGTTTTATATAAATTTTGTAAAATTTTGACCATATGTGATAGTCTCTATTAAATTAAACACACTAAAACAAATTTTTATTATTTATTTATTTTTTTTTATTTTGAATGTCAACTTACATGACGGTACTGTTAGGTACGTATTAGCCCGAAAAATTCCTGGAGCCTCCATATGGTCTGCTCTGCAATGATACATTCCGGTATCAAGACAAGTTATGTTCACTATGGAATGCACGGACTGGTCTTTACGTTCTTCGTGTATTCTTTTTGCTTCTTTCCATAAAGAAATCGTTGCGTTGTACTGACTTGTCACTGAACATCTCAAAATAACAGTGGACATTTGAGTAGCCAGAGTTTTATTAGGCGATCCATTTATTGTGAATGACTCAATTCGAAACAAATCTATAATGGAGGTATGTAAAATATATTTATAACCTGTAAGCTCTGACACATTAAACTAAATTATGCTACTTTTGAAATATACAATTTTTACATTTCCTTCTTTTTCTTTTGTATACTTTTGATCCCAAGATCGATTTATCTCTGATTATGGCTTCATGTTTCAATTCAGAGTTTGCCTACTCTTTGACGGGTTGCCGTCCAGTGCTAACGAGTCCAATACACCCAAGAGCTGGGGATGATATTGATTGAAATCCAGGCCACCAGCTTTTTGGATTGATTCCGTTTGGACAGCTCGGCTACTCAGTAACCCTTAATATACTGTTACAACGATAAAATTTCAAATCATTTTGCAATAATTTTAGATCTACATATTTGAAATCAAGGGAATATGAACTTTAAAAAAAAAGTTTAAAAATATATTTAAACGATAGCATATCTATTTTGGTATGCTTTAAAAAAAAATTAATATAAGTCAGGTATATACATATATTTTTGTAACAGACTAACCTCTCGTTACGTTTATAATGAACGGGATCTTCAATTCTTGATCACGTATAGTTTTGAAACTGACATTGAGAAATCCTATATTCTCATACGTGATATTTTTTACGGTTAGTTCGATGTTGTATGTAAGAGAAGTCTCATCAAACGTTGAATGTACAATAATTTGGTCACTGCTGCTACTGGCGTTGTAGATTTTACCATTGATTACAACGTCCGAACTGAGTTCTGGATAGGACTGGAGACAAAGATTTATTTGTAGTGTCTTTCCAATTATTACATCGTATGTAATCTGTGGTCGTGTTCCATTGCAAAATACCGGAGCACCTGCAATAAAAAAAAATAACAGTCTAAAATTTCAATGACTGTTTGGTTGCTTTTTCAGATTTTTTTTTTCATGACATTAGTATCTTTTCATACATAATATGGCATAATTTTTAAAAAAAAAAAAGTATATTTTAACTAATTTAAAATACTTATAAAAATAGAGTGTGCTTAAAAAACTAAATAGAAAATGTTATATCAAATCCATACATTTACAAATTATATAAGAAAACTATTTATTTTCAGCATTAATTCTTTTCTTAACATTTCTATTTGCTGTTGGGGTATATCATTTGAATCTTTAAAAAAAAAAAGAAGGAAAAAAAAAGAAATATTGGCATTTAAGTATAGGAATGTTTGAGTGTTTTTGTGAAAACTTATTGCCATTAAGAATAAGATTTGTTTAAGCTTGATTAATAAAGCAATACATGTAGATCAGTGGTTCTCAAAGTGTATGTCGCAATCCCTTGATGATCGAACGACCATTTTAACACGTGTTGCTTAGACCAGTGCTTCTCAAACATTTTAGTATGGTGGACCGGCAGGAATTTTTCCATTGCACTAGGGACCGGTGCACTAATTTTCTTGTACTGACGTGGTAGCGAAAAGAGTCCCTACGACATTTGGAATGAATTCGTCCTGATTTTAGCTACAAGTCATCAAACAATTTTGAAAAGAATAATCTTTAGCCCCTGATCGCGTATTGTTTGTTTACGATCTTCTTCATTTCGTATTAAACTATTTTGATGAAGGCAGCCATCGTTTTTATTTCAACTGATTTGAAGCTAATACTGTTATTTTAATAAATTTGCATTCTGGCCTAAGAGTTAATAAACGAAAACATAAAATGTAATTTAAAATATAATGGAAATGTATTACAAAAATTATATAGTAACTGTAGTTAGTATGTGTGTAAATGTATGCTCAATGTTTAATTTTAACTAATGGGTCATAAGAGCCTGCTTTTTTTTTTTGCAACTTTATCAAGTCGTGGCTCGATAGAGGACAATGCTGCGCACAATGGAGAACATCCATACTGTTCCTGTACTTTGTCTTTATAATGCTCATTGTTGGAAAGCCAGTTTCACATAGGTTAGACCGGCGGATAATGGTCCACGAACCGGCAACGGTCCGCGGACCACCACTTTGAGTAGCACTGGCTTAGACCATCAGAAATACATTTACTCTACAGTTATGAAGTAGCAACAACACATTTTTTTTTCTGGTTGGGTGTCCTTACAACAGAAGAAACTATATTAAAGGGTCACGTCATTAGAAAGTTTGAGAACAAATGAAGTAGACGAATGTTTCGGCCAAACACTAAGTGGAAAAAAAAAAGACAAAACGAAGGACATGAGCATTTTAAAAGAAAGCTCGATTCATTTTCCTTTTTTGTTATTAAGCAAATTGCACTGCGAGGTCTGATATGGAAACCAGTCTAGTTGTGATATGTCAACTCGTCTAGTTCTGATATGTAAACCAGTCTTGTTCTGATATGTACAGCCGTTTAGTTCTGATATGTAATCCAGTCTAGATCTGATATATAAACCAGTCTAGATCTGATATGTATACTCATCTAGGTCTGATATGTAAAATGTCTAGTTTTGATATGTATATCAGTCTAGTTCTGGTATATATACCCGTGTAGGAATGATATGTAAACCAGTTTAGATATGATATGTAAATCAGTCAAGGTCTGATATTTAATCCAGTCTAGTTCTGATATGTAAGCCAGTCTAGTTCTGATATTTAATCCAGTCTAGTTCTAATATGTAAGCATGTCTAGTTCTGATATGTAAATAGGTCTTGATATTATACATAATCCAGTCTGAGTCTGATGTGTAAACCAGTTTTGTTCACATATGTAAAAGTGTCTAGTTCTGATATGTAAACAATTCTAGTTCTGATATGTATACCAGTATAGATGTGATCTGCATTCAAACTACATCTGATATGTAAACCAGTCTAGTTCTGATATGTAAACCAGTCTACTTCTGATATTTAATCCATTCTAGTTCTGATATGTAAACCAGTCTAGTTCTAATATATATATACCACTCTAGATCTTAAATGTATTCAAACTAGATCTCATATGTATACCATTCTAGATCTGATATATATATATATATATCAATCTCGTTCTGATATCTGTACAGGTCTACTTCTGATATGCGTACCAGTACCTAGCATTGACAATGGCCAAGATAAAATGGCGTAAACTTACATAGTTTCCGAAGAGACCCTTTACGCGTGTACTTGGCGATAAAAAAAAATGTTAAGAAAGTTTATCATTTGAGATATGCGATATTCTAATAAGAACACTTAGTTATATAATTAAGATCCCTTGTCCTTTGTGTTTAATTGAACAATATGAAATTGTTGCGGAAAAAACACCCATTTATAATACGATGAAGAAAAATAATGAAAAGTAATGACTGAGAAACAAAATAGGCAAAGAAATAGAGAAAAAAAAATAATAAAAATAAAAAAAAACTTATGTTTACAAATTACAAAATTATCGACGGTTTTCAGAATTGTATAAGCATCTCAAATCATAAAATGCTAGGCTTTTAGAAAATAATGCACTTCATAAATATAGCTTAAAAATAAGCATTAGAACATTGTGAAAAACATAATCACTCGATATATTCCTAACAGTGTATTGACATAGCTGAGTAGCAATTCAAAAGAAAATAATTGATCTCTGGAATAAGGAGAACAAGAAAAGACGACTGTGGATAAATAAACGAGAATTTGATTTTACATCGTACGTGTGGCGTTTTAAATTCCTGAACATATCAGATAAATATCACATAAAGTAATACATATAGATTATCACGCATATTGTTTTTTGCCCTAGTACGATATACAGTGTAAAATAATATTAGACATTAAGGGCAAAGATCTATATATATATATATATGTATGTCTGAGATGGAAGGGGGGGGGGGCTACAAAAATCATTGAGATAAATTATACATTTAAAATTATTGAACTTTCTAGAAAATTCTAGATCGGTCTTGAATAGATGAATATTAAATCAAACGATATTTTAAAACGGACTGAGAAGGGTACTGCTACAAATCAAGACCTAGATCCAACTAATCACATAGAACCTATGGTGTTGTCTAACCCTATTGATATTCATATAGATTATATTAGAACAAAATTAATAGGGCCCCTGGCCCCGCAAAGTATGGATTTTATGAGTTCAGTGCACTTCGTTATTTGAGTATGGATAATCAAGATTATGTGTATTCAGTTTGGTCAAGATCCATCTATTCATATAGGAGTACTAAGCCTATTGATATTTATATAGCTTATGTAAGGAAAACTGAAAAAAATGGCCCCGGACCCAGAGGGATAGATATTATGTGCTAAGTGCCCCTCGTTATTTGAATATGGATAATCAAATGTATACATATTTAGTTTGGTTAAGATCCATCTATTCATGTAGCAGTATTTGTTTTTAAGATTTTTTTTCAAGCTCATTAAAGAAAAAAAACAACAAATCAAATACGGGGCCCCCCGTTGTGACCGTTCTAGGTAGAGTTTTGCAATGAAACCTGTTAAACTTTTGTTAGAAAGCTGTCAGGAATAAGCCAGCTAACTTTCAGGCTTATATTTACAGCGAAAGTTGGAGAATAGCTCATATAAGAAAAAAATGAAATGGGGCCCCCAGCCCTAGAGGTATGGATATTATGAGTTCATTACCTTTCGGTATTTGAATATGTATAATCAAAAGAATGTGCACTAAGTTTGGTCAAGATCCATCTGTTCATTTAGGAGTACTAAACCTAATGATATTTATAAGCTTACATTAGAACAAATAAAATTGGGACCCATTCCTAGAGAGATGGATATTATGTGTTAATTACCCTTCGGTATTTCATTAAGGATAATCAAATTTATGTATATTAAGTTTGGTTAAGATCAATCCATTCATGTAGCAGGATTTGTTGATCATTTTATTTATATAGCTCATATTGGAAACAAACGACATTATGGGCACCCAAACCCAAACGGTATAGAGTTTTGAAATGAAACATTCTTATTTTTTGTTTGTGACCTGTAAGGAATAAGCATGCCAAATTTCAGTTTTCTATCTACAAGGAAGTTGGAGAATTAGTGATGAGTGAGTGAGCGAGTGCTTTGCCTTTTATTAGTATTTACATTTGTATAGATATTTATATATACACACATATATATATATATATATATATATATATATATATATNTATATATATATATATATATATATATATATATATATATACGAAAAGAAGATTACATGATTTCATTTGCAAAAGTTATAGTTGTCTTAAAGACAAAAAGGAAAAATATAAATCTTGATAATAAGGACATTTTATACGATTTTGTCTTTTTATTTATTTATTATGTTATTTTATATTTTAAAAAATCAACTTTGTTACTAACCTTCTGTTAATCTCAAGAAAAATGTGAAGTCAATGTCATGCCCCTTTTTGGTCTTGATTTTAACAACGTACATTTTGACACCATCATGAGTGATACTATTAAAGCGCAAAACAATATTCTGATTGGACGTTTTGTTGTTTAATTGCACAGTATATTTGCCAACATTGTTTAAATTAGCCATTGGAACACCATTAAGTCCAATGTTATCACGTTGTAGGATATGACTACTGTTTACACATATTTCTGTTTCAAAAGATTGTCCTAAGTGAACAAAGTATTCAGATCCATCCAGAGAGACGTTGCAGAGACTGTCATTAATAACTGTGGAGAGTAAAAATACATTTAAAATAAATAAATACCAACATAAATTATTGACTTTGTTTAAAGTAACTGAAAATTGTTCAGTTTATAGAAGCAACTCACGTTAAATTATATTATTAAAACTACTTAACACTGTCTAAAGTAGTTATTCTGAACCAATGTAGTTTGTTCACTTTGAATGTAATTTTAAAAAATATATATTTTAATTGTTGAATGTTATCTAATTTGTACCACCTTACATTTTAGAGATACATTTTTTTTTTATAGGGATACGTTTAATTTCTTATGCTCACTGCCCTGTGAATACAATACATAAATTACAGTTAACTTTAACCCCTCTAGTATCTACAAAAAAAAAAAAAAAATTTATGAACTTAAGGGAATAATCCTTGATGTGGGTCCCCATTTAAAAAATATATATTTTAATTTTTGAATTTTATCTAATTTGTACCCCCTTTTATTTTAAAGATTCATTTTTTTTTTATAGGGATACGTTTAATTTCTTATGCTCACTGCCCTGTGAATACAATACATAAATTACAGTTAACTTTAACCCCTCTAGTATCTACAAAAAAAAAAAAAACATTTATGAACTTAAGGGAATAATCCTTGATGTGGGTCCCCACAGATGGACAAATGTTACAAAAAGGTGACGTAACAAAAATTGTGAGAAATCTCGGTCAAATGTATATACACGTTATAATCCTAGGAATCATCGATAAGGATTGTTTTTCTTTTCGCAAACTACAATGCATATGTCAGTTTATTATTTTTAAATGTAAATGATTAGTTAGATAGCAAAAAACAAAGATGAAATAACTATTTGCGTGTACTTGCCTGGTTGGTCCACAATGTCTAAACGTATTGGAAGGTATGTAACGGAACCAGCTGTAACGTTTACTTCATAACTTTTGTTGATGTACTGTGTACAGTTGATAAACATTATCTTGATATAATATTCTAGACTGCCATATTTGTGTATTATTGAGATCTGTGTTTCATTGTTTGTTAGATTGTCTGGTCTTAATTGTAAACCTGATGTTACTGTTCGAAAAAATGGTCGTGGAGAAAGTTCGTTACAGAAGTCTTTAGGCATCCAAGCTGCAGTGGCAAGTTTAGGGCGGTCTGAAATTTACATTTAAAAAAAAGAATTCATGTATCAATATATATAGATATATAATGAAGCTAAATAATTAATCTATGTAATTTTATGAACGTGTGCTAGTACTATAATAAATAAATAAAATAATTAAAAAATATTCACTGGGTTCCTTTTAAAGTAGCCTTGAATATTTAGTGATATTTAAAAAAAAAAAAATTAAACAACACATGACAAAAAAAGTTTTCGTCTAATTTGTTTTTTTTTTCTTTTTAATTTTTGGAGTTGTACGTGCTTTATCATTCATTAAGGAGTGGTTATGTAAATTGTTAAACATGTGGCGAAAACAAGCTTAACCGTTCCTTACTTTTTCCCTTCAAAAACGATTTTAATTTTTACTTCTTTTGAAATTACTCCATAACACAAAGCAAATAGCGACAGCTATACAATTATTCTTCACACACACAAAGACGCAACCATTGAACATTTCCCTTGAAAAACAGAAAAAAACAGATTTTTGGGGGGTTGAGACTTATAATTTTATGTAATGGGTTGTTAGGTTCGCCACTTTTCAGTTTAATAGGATGACAGAAAGTGGGTCAAAAAGACATCCATAGAAAAATAGAAAAGCAATACGGGGCTGAAAATGTTCAATAAATTATCGCTTAAAGAAACAAATGTTTCTTTTTTTTACAATATAAATTTATATTAGCTCCCGAATTTATTGTATTTTGAAGATGTAATGGGAAGTATCTTAAATTGATTTAAATAATTAAAAGAAGAAAATTGAAAATGTGCAAGAGGCTTTCAAAAGTGTTGTGGCGGCTCTGTTTGGCATTTATCTGTTTCATAAACATAAATGTAGCTTATATGTTCAATATTTAACGATTTGTTCATGCTAAACCTATGTAGTTATATTAATATGGATTAATGATACCAATTGTCAAGAAGTACATTTTTTTCTCAAAATTAGTATTCCACATATTGTACTTGATTACATCTTTTATTTTTTCCATTTAAGAAATAAGGAAACTAATGACACTACAACACCAATAAACAAACAACACCATTGGTGAGTGAACCGTGGATGTAGTTCATTTTATAATTTGAAATATTTTACGATAATACGAAGTCCTGAACGCCGAATCATTTTAAAATACAATTTAATCAGGTAAAAGATTTTTCAAATAACTTTTTAAAGAGTAAACATATATAATGTAACAGAATATACTTTCACCTTTTAATTATATACTTATTGTGCTATAATGTCAGACTGCTAAATCAATCGCCAATTAACTGGGTACCTTGGTTTTGATCGACTAGATGTTATTGTCCGGGAACATCTTCACGTTACATGTGTAACGATGTGGTGTGCCCCTAATACTTTGCAATTCATGGGATTTTTGGTTATTTTTGTATGTATCTAAACTAATGGGATACCATAAAAAGAGTAGCTACCTAATACCCATCATGTTATATATTTAATTATTCACAAATGAATGGAGATTGATATTTTTAAAAATACTGATTGAAAACGATTGCGTGTTTCCTTACAAATATGATTGAAATGAGAAAATTATTTACCATCTTCTAATGCTTTTGTCCCCCAAAATCTAAGTCAATGGTAATATATTACATGCACTGATTGGAGAGAAAAAAATAAATCTATATGAAATAAATTACCTAATAACATATTTTAAAAGGATAGATTTATTTTTTCTTTTATTTACTCGTTTCAGTTAGGCAAAACACAACAGAAAAAATTGCAGCAATAAAAAAGTTGTCATTAAAAAATTCTAAAAATATAAATTGGATAATATTTAATTGCAAAAGATAGTTTGTAGTTTAGATTATTTAGAAATGTTAATTTTATTTGTCTAATCGAATAGATAGCTAGACTTAAATTGTTAGAAACTGTAATTGTGTAGGATAATTGACTGAGGTATTAACACAACGATGCAAACAGCCATATTGCGCGAGAATCTATCACTATGCTGTAGAAAATCTTTTCGCGACAAATAACTTCGCGTGGAATCAACTTTCCATACCACTTTCACTTCCCCGTAATACGCCACGAGAGGCCTCTTTGTGGCGAATGTTAAGGGAATGTGTTTTCAAATGTGAAGTTTCGCCAAGAACTCTGCGTATGTTATGCGAAGAAATAGACTCCTTTACAGGTGCCGCTAGCAACCATTGTCCAATGATATGTTTGAAAATGTGGGTGAGCGGTATAAACAATGTCTAGAGTTCGACGTTGAATACTATAAACATTTACGTTAAATAAACCGTGATGAATAAACAGGGTAATATTGGATATGTTAGTTTCTATAAGAGGAAACAATTATAGATTACGACAAGGAATTGGTGGTGTCTTTATTTCAATGCTGTTACTTTTTGTGCATGTTCTCCTAAAGGTCATAAAAAAAATATGTTCCATTTTTTTTTTTTCATCTTTGAAATCGAAATAAAGCAACTCTCAAAATAACCGACTTCTTCCCCTCTATTATACATTTAATGATATGAATTATGTTTATAGCATTCAATATAGCTAAATCTTTTTTCTATAAAAGTAACACTGAACACCATAAAATGAATTAACAGAAACTAAACTAATGTTACGTATTTGCAACTCACCTTTCAATGTGATATTTAAAGAGAGTGTTAGGTTTTTTTCTGGTGTAAATATCAATACAACCAGATACATTTTAAAATCCTCTTCCTTCGCTTTCAGTAGAGTTAGCTCAACATCGCCAACCAATTTAGTTCTTGGTGTGTAGACATGTGACCAGCGTGGGTCTTTGACCTCATTACCAGTCTTCTGGTCATATATAGTCACGTTAACGTGATTGTAGTTATGTACAAGACACACTTTAAGTCTTGCAGTAGAATTTTCGTTTAAAAATAAAACTGAACTGTTTCCACCACAAAGTTTTGGATCACCTGCAATAAATGTATCCATTGATTTATATTTGAGTAATATGATGCATGGATATGTATATGTATAGGTAAAAAAAAAAAGAAAAAAATAGCAATATACTAATATTTAAAAAAAAAAAAAAACAACTTTTTAAAAAAAAAAAAAAAAAAAAAGAAAAAAACTAAAATTTAAAAAAAAAAAAAGACTACTTTTTAAAAAAAAGTAATAAGAATCAGCTATTATATGAAACTTTGACTTGACAACTTACAGTGATCGTCAGAAACATCCAAAGTTTTAGAAATTGTTTTGTTTTTATAATCAGTCATGGAACATATATATGAGTTAAAAGAGCTGCATTGTACGTAATTCAAAACGTTCGTTTCTACGTGAAAGTTTTTCTTGTAGTTTTGAAGACTGTTTACATTTTTCACAAGTGTTTGTTCATTTAAAAGACTTATTTCTATGTGTTTGGGATAATTGGTTCCTTCACACATTAGAAAAAAATCTATTTCATTGTCTTGTTTGTTCTTCTTGAAAGAAAAGTTGAGCTCTGATTCAGCTGAAATTGAAAAAAAAATATATAAATAAATAATAACATGACACAGAAAAGAATGATACGTCATACTACTCTTTTCTTATACACATATAACTACATATAGAAAACACAATGTGTGTTACTTTGCTGGTTTGTAACTTATAGAATAAAAATTTACTGGAGCTAAACAATAATTCTTTTTTTTTTTTTTTAAATTTTCTAAAAGAAAATATTAAATATATAAAGTGAAATATCCAGATTGTTGAATAATGCCGTATCTCTTGGTTTCTGAGCATTGAACACTCTTCACTATCCCGATTATAGGTGAGTGTTAGTCGCAATTTTCTTTCTGCATTCGGCAACAATTTCCATTGTTCATATATATATATTAGCAATATAAACACGTGTCGTTTCTAATACTTTAAGTTAAGCTGAGAATGCAAGAATGTAATTTTCAGGTTTCGCCTAGCCGAACATTTAGCCTGAAACTAAAGCGGAAACCAAAATCTTAACGAGACTTTCGGCCGATCTTAAAACCCGAAAGCTTTATAACTAAGTATTTTTTAACAAAAGTGTACCACCATGCAACACACGTTTTCTACCGTTATCCGAATCACTTCTCTCAGTTAGCACAGACCGTTTTCAATTAGTTATTTACGAAATACAAAAGTGAATAAGTTGATTGTAGCCTCTTGCTTTGAGAAGAAAAGTTGAATAAAATATTATAAAACATACTCAAATAAATAGTGTTATCTAATTTTAGCCAATACAAATGCAGTAGGCCTACTCCATCAATGTTAAAGAAAACCTTGATTCAAGCGAACGTATGTGTAGGCCAATGATTTAATTTAAATTCTAATTTATGACTAATTAAACAAAATCAAAATCAAGAATTGTATTTTTTTAATATAACTAAAAATTAATTATTTTCTTTCATTAAGTTGGTCCATTTTATTTAATATTTTATTTCCTCGTCAATGACAAAAAGTATAAGCATGACAATGACGCTTGTCAATGAAAGAATAAATTTAATAAACCTAGGGTTGCAAATTATTATGTCTTTTAATTTTCAAAAAAAAAAAAAAAATATTAATATGAATATTATAATCTTATTAAATGTTGTTCGAACCTAAATATTTGTTTATGTTTGAAATTGGTAAAGATAAATCAGTTTTTATGTCACATAAGCATGACAATGATGCTTGTCAATGAAAGAATAAATTTAATAAACCTAGGGTTGCAAATTATTATTTCTTTTAATTTTCAAAAAAAAAAAAAAATATTAATATGAATATTATAATCTTATTAAATGTTGTTCGAACCTAAATATTTGTTTATGTTTGAAATTGGTAAAGATAAATCAGTTTTTATGTCACAAATGAATGAATTGAGTAAACATAGGTTGCCAAATTTCCTTTAAAAAAAAATTAAAACAGAAATATGATTTGAAATATCAACATTCCCTTCTTTTGTTTTCTCAATGCTAGTTACATTTGCCTAAGTATATTTGGTAATATCATTATGGGATATATTGGGAAAGTATGCTATTGTGATACTGTGAGGAGTGTGCGAAGAGGATTAGTCATAGACCTAAGTCATGACGACAAGGCGTCGAGCAATAATAAACATAGGATTGCTTCTGACAGATGCTACTGATTTCTGATGGACTACGGACAGCCTATATCACTATCAGCGAAAACCAAAAATAAACCGAGTTTAACTTTTCTATTTCGACAGAAACCGATATTACGTCAACAATTATCATATGGCAACGTTCCCCGCCGAAAACTCAATCAAAATTCAGTCGGCCTATACCTTTTACTGAATTAAAAAATAATATAATATATGTCTTATACTTTATTATCCTGATTAATAAATAGGTCGGAGTTGGTCAAGTTGATTTTAACTGTTTTAAATTTTACATGAGAGATATCACTTTATGGAGGGAGGTTGCTTGGTTCCAGTAAGGATAGTATGGTGGAAGTTCGATGAGCGGGCGATCTGCTCAGGGCAACACATTCAACCATGAGATCAACAGGCTGGCTTCCACCAAAACAGATCACGCACAGATCTTGACGTGCTGTGTCGCCGATTGGTCTAAACTGATACAATAAAAAGTTCATGGTCTGGAGTTCAATCCATAACAAAGCCACACACAAAACCTCACCAGCACCCCGGGTGGATGGGACTCGTTAACCTTGGATGAAAAAATCATCTACGAGAAGGAAACTCTGAATTCAAACCCGAGATGGCGTCTTCTATTGGCGGCAAAAATCGAAACCATGAATCATTCCGAAAAACCCAGCGACGCCCCTGATGCAATCACTAAGAGCGCTGTGAGAATGCTAAAATACCATGGATACAAACGCAATATAAGTATTCAATCAATTAAACAAACATATCAAATTGCAACACTACAAATCATTGTTGCAACTGTTCTATCGAATGGAACTCCCTCCTATATACACATTTTAAAGACTACCAAAAGGCATTTGATAGCCTGGACCGTCTAAACTTGTGGCTTTATGGAGTACCAGAAAAAAATTGTCAGGATCATTCGGAGTTCTTATAATGAAATACATGCAGTGTTGTACACAAATGTAGCCTCACAGATGACTTTAAAGTGGAAACAGGATTCAGGCAAGGATGTCTCTTGTCACGAATTCTATTCTTCCTCGCCATTGACTGGATAATGAAAAAATCCACAGACAAAACGAGGAACTTGATAAAGTGGAAACTCTGTGAATAAATGATGACCTAGACTTTGCAGAAGACATTGCACTTCTGTGCAACAGCCAGCATCAAATGCAGGAAAGACGAAAGGCATGGTCATCATCTCAGCACAGCTTAGAAAAATAAAAGTAAGACAAAACTAATGAAGCTAAACCACGCCAACCAAGAGCATATCCATCAGGCAGGAAACGCTTTGTAAGAAGTGGAGTCCTTCACATACTTAAGCAGCTCCATCGCAATAAATGGCAGATCCAAAGCGGATATATGGAATATAATTGGACAGGCTAGATCAGCATTTGTGCTATTAAAGAATAATATGGGAGTCGAAGGAGCCGAATCTGCAAGGAAAGTCAGAATCCTTAACACACATGACAAAACATTTCTACAATATTGAGCAGAAACTTTGAAAACAACAGTGAGCATTGCAGAGAAAATATAGACCTTCATAAACACATGCCTTAGAAACATCACGAACATCAACTGACCAAATACACTCACCAACAATTATCTACTGGAAAAGACATACCAGATATCTACTGATGAACAGATCATAAAAAAAGACGGAGATGGATATGGCTTACTCTCTGCTAACCCCCATAAAGCATCACCAGACAATCCCTAACATAAAATCTTTCAAGAAACGATAGTTTTAAATGGTTTACAGTTTTTAAAGATTACGTAGAATGTATATCTACACGTTTTAGATAGGAGATCCATCCAGTCATAAAATATATGTCTCCTTATTGAACGGATTGTTTTTATTAAACTGAAGTAAATCTAATTACGAGAAGTCGTTGTATTTCAGCTAGTTTTATTGATAAGTACCCATCATGAATTGTTTGTTTTGTTTGTTTTTATACTTATACACTTGAAATATAATTAACATCATGAGATTCTAATTTGTATAAGTATTCTCTGTTATACATATTTTGCAATTGCTATGTGAATTATTTGTCCAACCTCGGCCAGGTTATAATCTTGAGGGCCCTGGCCTGCTCAGACCCATCTTTTCATTCGGATCGATCCTTGACTTTCCGCCTCCATGCCCGAACCAACTGTTGTAAGTCCTTCTCTACGTTGTCAATCCATTTCAGTCTTGGTTGATCGGTGAACCGTCAGCCCATAGGTTTCCGCCTGTAGCCCCTATTGCTGCTCTACATTCCTATCAATGTGGCCTGTTCAGCGAAGTCTGGCTTTTTCATTGTGGCGACTATGTGTAGGTCTTCGTACAATTAATATATATCTTGGTTTGCACGTATCCTCTAACCGTGCTGTCTATCACCAGGTCAAACATTTTCCTGCAGGCTTGCCCGAGGAAGAGCATTTCCTTTTTCCCTTTTAAGTGTGACTTTTTTAAATTGTAATTTTGACAAGAAATAAATCCTATTGCATTATTGAATTGATCTGGACGGAATATGGAACATTTATTCCTAATTATCCAGATTGAAAGAATTGTTCTTCTATACTAATAATATGCACTCCTTGGCCGGGATCCGTATTATATTTCTCACACTATAAGCTTTGCAGCTTAAAGTAGACATGCGTCCATTTGAATCGTCTAATAGAAGCAACAAATTTAATGCATACCCTTAATTTTCTATATTGTTGTATATATAATTTTAACACGCAATTTTAATTTATCGAATTAGAAACGAGGGCAGAATTTCATAAATGATAAACTTGACAACTTCTAAAAGCAGTTTCATCGCAGGCTTTAGACTGAAATACTGACATGTCTTTAATTTTAAGAATGCATACAATTGGGGACTGGAAACTCTAATATTGTATATATAAAAACTACACATTTGACTAAATTTAAATCGATACATTTTAGAGGGACAACTTTTACAAGATATTTTTTGGATCGTTTAATTATTCAGAATGGAGATGACCTCAAAAAAAGTCGGTGTTACGTCCTCCCTTAATTAAGATCATAAGAGCAGATCTTGAATAGAATGATATTGCAACGTCAATTCCCTACAAGCTCCCGACTCTGCAGCGTACTGTGCACGCTTTTCAGTGCCCAATGAATAGCCTCCAGCTTAACAACGAAATTCGACGTAGCAGTGCCACAGGGACTTAAAAGAGCCCCATAAGGTGTCCCTCCGATGATATATATAATGAGCGCACTGTTCAAGGCGTTTTTTTTCTCATTATTTAAGAGTGTCGAGTGGCGGGCCACTTCATCTATACAGAACTGAATCGCGGCTCATACAAAATTGGATTAAAAGTTGTGTCCTAACCTTTAGTAAATTTACCTATTAATTTGATAAAAGGAAAGCAGGTTTTTTTCAAAGATTTATTATACATTTCTTTTTTTATATGCTTCTCATCGTCCATAAAAGACATACACATATATAAATATATTAAGTTTCATAAGCCGCATCATGTGTTAGTTCAGAGCCAATAAAAAAGCACGTTTTCTATTGGCTAAAAAATGAAACTGCTGATTGAACTTAATTATCCATTATTTGCATTGACCTTGAGTACAGGTAAATATAGACTATAGTCTTTCAAATTAGAATTCTTTAGAAATTAAGAGACTTAACTATATAGGGATACAATGTGTAACCACTTTCTGGAAAAGTCTCAAATAAAGACAATAAATAAGCCGATCCACATAAGGAGATTGTGATTGAGTTAGATAGAGACTACGCGACAAAGAGAGAGAGAGAGAGAGAGAGTTTGCGATTAGGAGACTGTAATGATCGTAGATTTGAATTTAAATATCTACAGTCTGTGTGTGGACCTTTTTTTAACTTTGTACGTGATTCAGTTCATTGCTGTACTGTAGGTGAATAGCATTTAGTTTGATACTATTTGATTTTATATAGTAAATTTTAACTAAATAAATGATTATTTGTATTACGACCCTTTGTGGGTATCGTTTCTTGATTACTGTATTTTATTTATGGTATAGTCCTTGTTATGTCCTGCTTGTAATGTGGCATAGAGTAAAATACGAGATTAAATTCTAACACTTATAACATTACGTGACAGTCTCAAACACTACATTGTTTTACTTATATCAGTCCACTTAGTAACATTAAAATATACCGCAGATGCTTTTTATATTGCAGCATAAATACAAAGCGTTTTATTGAAGCGTAGGCGACATTCTAAAGGCCAAATATTAAAAAAAATTGACATTCTAAATGACTATGCACTGTAAAAAATATTGTAAACAAAAACTTTACCTTGTTGCAGAATCAATATCGTAAATTCCAATTTAGATCTTTGGGAGGACGTGATATTCACATTCCATGCACCGTAATCGTCTGATGAATTTACTTTTAACATAAAATTGAAATATGCAGTGCGATTAACTAAATTATCTACATAGAAGTGCACATGGCCTTCTGGCTTGTTGTAGACAACTGAGTTATGACGTAATTCTACTGTTACTGTGTGTGCTGTTATCAGACATATTGAAATGTTCGTTGAAGATCCAATCTCAGGTAAATAGAAGTTCAGATCAATATCATCTTTGCATAAGTGAATGGAACCTGAAATAAAGGAGAACATATTTACTTTAAAATGGTGATAATTGCATTTAGATTTTTAACAAATGAGACTTTTTAATCTTGGTGTATTCGATATTTAAAAAAGAGCAAACTGTTTTCTTTTGTATCTTGACTTATAACATTATGTTGATGATTAAAATCAAAACAAAAAGAGACCAAAAAATAAAACAATCAACAGATAACAGCTTTTTTCGATGACGATTAGATCACTTTAACAAAATGCATTATTTAATAATTAATGTCATGTACTGTTCTTACGATGACTTTCAAATGTCATTGTTGTGAAGTGTGCTAATCTTGCTTTTATCTTTATTTGTTAAAGTTTTTTTTTTTTGGTTCTTTTTTTAAATATTATTATTTTTTTCATTATTGTAACATGACTATAGGGTCTAATTATTTTTTTTACTGCATGCAACGTGTTTATCTTTTATTGATTTTGCCTAACACTCTTTTAAAAAAAATAAAACGTTACAGATTTTTCTTTTAAAAAATGTGTGACGATTTTTTCTTAGAAGGCAATGGTGTAATGAGGTTTTTGTCGATACCTCCATTCTCTAATCAGGAATATAATAGTTTCCTATCTTAACTGATGGACTGTTTAGATTCCCATTTAACAATTAAATTGTGTTAACTACTCGATTTGCTGACGTCTGTAGAGATAGATTTGATTATTTGAAAGGGTTTCTGTTTTTTTTTTATTTTATTTTTTTTTCACTACATAATACTTATTGCACATTTATATTCAAATTCAGCAGAAAAAAAAGCAAGAATAATTGTTTTTAAATAATTTTATTAATGCATTTTTGTTTTTGCTGGTTCTTCAATTCATTGTGAGATTTTAAAATATTACTTTAAAAACACTTGAAACAAACAAACAGATTTTCTTACCATCACATGTTTTCCAGTTATTAAATGCCAACAATAATATTCCAATTTGAAATGCATCGTTTTTGGTAAACATGTTTCTAGCAGTCAATGCTCATATTTTTTTTTCTCGGCTTCATGTGTAGTGGTTAACTTTATCGGCAACAATGATATACATTTTAAAATATGTCTTTCCAGAAACTGCCATGGCATTATGACATTAACGTTTAAAAATTAATAAGCAATTCAAATAAAGAATAAGTTAAATAAACTAAAAATGTTTAAAAAAAATCAGTTGTGAGAGCCATAAAATGATGTGTACATTAATATATATATATATATATATATATATATATATATATATATATATATATATATATATATATATATATATATACATATATATATATATATATATATATATATATATATATATAGTGATAAATATAAATAAATAGAAAAAAAA